CCACGTCGGCCAATGAGGAGACGGCGCCGGAGGAGGATACAGAGTCCACGAAGAGCACCACAAAATCCGCGAAAGCCACGACGGAGCAGGCCCCCACAACTTCGGAGGCTACAACTCCGAAGTCGACGACCACGCGGAAGCCTCCGTGCCACACCGCGGTCGAGGGCGACAAGTGCTCCGAGGCCGTAGGATACGCCATGACAAAGGGCTTGTGGGAGCACCCGGAGTGGTACCCGGGACTGACACCGATGAGCACGTTCGAGGATTTCCAGCAGGTGCTGAGTGACAACCCGGAGACGGAGTGCCCCCAGCCGTGCGCATGCAAGACGGCGGAGCGCTGCCTCGTTTGACCGATCCCACTCCTCACGGGGCCATGGTCTCTCGGCCCCACCAGCGCACCCGCCTAGGTGTGGACAGGTCCCGCAAAACCGGGAGGAGCAGGACATGCTCCCGCCTAGGTGGGTAAGTCGGCCAGTGGGGCCAAGGCCACGCCAGGGGAGGTGGCATCGGTGAAGCGATGCTCAGGAGCCCGACTCCGACTGCATGGGCAGCATGAAGTGGGTCCTGCAGGAGGGCATACAGTCCAAGCCGGACTGGTACCAGGGGGTCACGGAGACCTCGCGCTTCGAGCAGGTGCAGAAGCGCCTTCATGGCGACAAGGACTTGGCAAGGCGTCGGCTTGCGCGCAAAAAAAGCCCCTCCAGGCAGTCCTGGCTGGCTTCAACCAGGCCCCCCCCGAAGTAGTCTGGGGCGGTCTCAACCCTGGCGCCGCCTCTGGCGGCGCCCCTGGGGCGTTCCGCGCCCAAGGGTTGGGGTATTCAGACCGCCCTGGACTACTCGGGTGGCCTGCTGAGGCCAGCCTGGACTACCTGGGGCGGCTGTCTGCGCGCAACCCGACGTTTTACCACAAGGACTCCGACTGTGACATGCCCTGCACCCCGAAGGTGTGGCAGACACCATCGTTGTTTTGCTGGTCCCTGTACCGCTCGGACGGGTACGAGGTGGACCTGGTAAAGACGCACGTCGATAAGATGGTCGGCATCTTCGCGTGCGACGAGTTCTTGCCGCTGTGCGACGAGGTTCTCGACCTAGGCAACGGCATCACGACCACCAGCATCGGGAAGACCGCGCCCAGCGGCGTCTCGAAGGACGGAACTGCCGCGAACACATTGGTGTTCATGACCGCCTGGGCCGCAGTCCACGACGACTTTCGCTACCACGCCCACGACTGGATCCTTAAGGTGGATCCAGACGCGGTGTTGCTCCCACACAGGATGCGACCTCTGCTGGCACAGTATCCCAGCACTGTCTACATCAAGAACTGCAACATGTACGACGGCCCAGGCTGGCCGATGATGTTCGGGTCGCTGGAGGCGATCAGCCGCCCCGCGCTGCAGCTGTACTACGACAATGCGGACCGGTGCCGCGAAGAGCTGGAGTGGGAGGCCTGGGGCGAAGACCTGTGGCTCGGGAACTGCCTCGACATGCTGGGCGCCGAGTCTGTGGGCAATTTCGACATCATTGGAGACGGCGTGTGCACTGGCGCCAACTGCGGTGATGGCTTGAAGGCCACATATCATCCGTTCAAGAGCTCGGAGGACTGGTTCAATTGCTATCGAGCTGCCTGCGGCAAGTCCCGCCACCGTGGCAGCGCAACACTCTGTGTGGCGACGCTTCTTTGACACCTCTGGTCTCTATTCTTCACTTTCTCTCGAGGGGCCTACCTGGGCTGTCTTGGTGCCGTCGTGTGGCTACTGGGGCCGTCTTGGGGCCCTCTTGGTACCTCTTGGGCCGTCTTGGGGGGCTTTTGGGCCGTCTTGGTGCCGTCTTGTTTTGGGCCGTCTGGGACCCCTCTTGGCCGTACAGGGTGTCTTTTGGAGCTGTCTTGGGGCCTCTTGGGGCTCCTCGTGGGCCGCCTGGAGACCTCCCGAGGCCGCCTTCGGGACGTCTTGGGGCCGTCCTGGGATTTCGGGGGACTTTTCTCGAGGCCCTCGTCCTGGTCTGGTGGCCTCTCTTGGGCTCCTCCGAGGTCCTTCTGGAACCATCTTGAGCCGAGAGTCCTGGGAAACCTCAAATATTCAAACGCATTACAGGACTTCCACAGGTTCCCACCACCCCTCTCCTCTGGGCCAAGTATGGGGCTACTGTTGTCAGAGTGACGCCTCCGCCTCCTCCCCTCCAGGAAAGCCCTGTCAGACAGCCCGCGGGCATTCGCACACTGCCCACACCGTGCAGGCACGGTGGCGGATAACACCGCCATGCCGCCGCCTGCGCCACCCGCAGACGACGGTGGCGGGGACGGGGGCGCAGACGATGGTGGAGACGACCCCGGCAGCGGGGACGGCGACGCCGGTGGAGACGACCCCGGCAGCGGGGACGGCGACGCCGGTGGAGACGACGCCGGCAGCGGGGACGGCGACGGCGGGAACGATGGCGGCGAGGGCGCCTCCTGAGACGCCGGCGCAGCGCTGGCGTGCGCGGGCCGGGCACTGCCGGTGCCACGCCTCGCTGCACCTGAGCAGGAGGAGGCCCCCCGCGGTGTCTCGATTTTCCTCGCCGTCTCGGGGAGTGCCAAGGGCGGCCACTTGCTGCGTGGGGGTTGTGTTCGTCGCAAGGGTGATTTCACACCCGGCGTTTTTCGCCCGGTCCCCGGCCCCGGGGCCATCATAGATCGATCTTGCTCGAAAGATGCAGCGGGAAGATGGGGTCCAGGGGTTCCGTCGTGATTTCCCGCGACATTATTTTTGTTCGCGCCCTCGGATGTTAGGGTATGGGGGTCATCAGTTCCTCCTGAAGATCGAAGTTCCAGGATCGAAGCTCGGGGAGGTTTTTGGGCATTGGGGTCGTTTTGGTGGTCTCTGGGGTGTTCTGAGGCCCCTGTCTTCTTGAGCGAGTGGGGTTTCCCCGAGGCAGTGGCGACCCTCCAAGTGGTGACCCCTCTTGACATTGCCTGGTCGTCACCTGTGGCGCGATCGCGTCCGCGCCGACCCCACACAGCCGGGCCGCATCATGAGGATGAGCAGCTTTCCGAGGGCGTCCTCGCATCCTTGCATCTGAGCCCATCCTGGCCCTCGGCCATGGGCCAGATGGGCTTCCAGCTTCAGGTTCAGTCTGGGTGCCGAGGGGACCTGTGTCCTTGCCGCGCAGTCTTCTATGACCTTGCCAGTTTGCACCCCACAGAGGCGCCGACGACCTCAGGAGCAGGCGTGGTGTGCAGATCCCCCCTGGCGCGGGGGACGATCTGTTCACCGGGCCTGCTCCAGGGAGGTCGTGTGCGCCCCTGGGGCAGGGGGCTGGTGTGCATGCGAGGATGAAAAAGAAGGATGCAAACACACATTTCCATAGTTCCTCGCTGATTTCTTAGATCGGCGTTGGGCACCGCGCGCCAGGGAGGGGGTACAGCGCTGATCCAAGAATCCGCGCCGACCTCCGAAAGATTGTTATTGGTTCTCGATGCACAGGTGCCGTTTGGGGACGGCGCATGCAGATCAATATTTCGTAAGCCTGTTGCCCGCTGGCGCCCTGGGCTAGTTCCCGCTGGCGCTTGGATGCTGTGTCCACCACTCGAGGATCAAACAATGGCATAAGCATGCACTTTCGGAAGTCCGCGCGAAGTGTTTTGGATCGGCGCTGTACGCCCCTCCCAGGCGCGCGGAGCGCGCCTGCGGCGGCGCCAGATGCGCTGCCAGGGGGGCCCAGCGCCGGTCCACGAGGTGCGCGCGGGGCTCCGAAAGTGCAGTATGCAGTTCCTTGTTCCTCGAGCCGCGCGCTACGACTGGGGCCGCCGTTGCGTGATGACCTCGTGGCTCCGTCGCCTTCTGCTTCCTTTCGCCACCTGTAGCGCTGGGCCGGCCCGTGTCCTGCGGCCGAAGTGGCCCGGACGGCACGCCGTGTGTGTGTGTGCGTGTGTGCTTGGCCCGAGGGCGTAGAGATCCAGGCCTCTCAAGTGGGGTCTAAGTTTAGAGAAGGAAAAGGTACCGATATCGCTTTTGAAGCCTCCTGGAAGGCTCTCGTCGCCACCGCTGGATTCGCCTCGAGATTCTGGTTAGAATGCACCCCTGGATAGGTCCAGGGAGTAGCGGTATCGGTATCTCTTGGTTTCCCCAAGGGTAGATGGGGTCGGAGGGGCGCTTCGCATCGCCGATGCATCGCCGATGCGGCTCGATGTGGAGCCCAATTTTCTCCACACCGACGGCGCCGATGCATCGCCGACGTCGCCCATGCATGGCCGATGCATCGGCCATGCATCGGCGATGCGGCGCGATCTCCCGACGCCATTTACTCGGATCGCATTTGGAAGGCCTCCAAGAGAAGATTTTGTGAGAGACAAATCAGCAGCTGCCTGTGGCATACTCCCCCGCCACCTGCCCACGCAGCACCGGTGCAGGCTGCATTCTGCCGTGCTCTCCCACGGCCTTGGAGGAGGCGGACCTCGAGCCCCCCTCAAAATGTTGGGCCTCGGGGGGCCTCCTCGAGGCCACCGCCAGACGCAGCTCGAGAAGCTGGCCAGGATGGACCAACGGAGGGTTCTGGGGACGAATTTTGAGCTGATTAGGCTTTGCCTACGGGTTTGTTAGGTGGGTGCCGGGCCTGCGCCGACCAGCGTTTCCCGGGTTTCCCCAGGGTTGCTTGGTCTTTTTTCTTTATACAGCGGCATTCCCTGGGATTTCTTGGTCTTGTTCTTTTTGCACGATATTATCAGGTTGCTTTGTCTTGTTTCCCTGCAAGGCCTTCCCTGGGTTGCTTGGTCTTGTTCCTTTCCTGCGTTTCCCTGGTTGCTTGGTCTTGTTTCCTTCCTACGTTCCCCCAGTTGTTTGGTCTTGTTTGCTTACTGCGTTCCCTGGGTTGCTTGGTTTTGTTTCTTCGTTGCCTGGCAGCGTCGAGCAACGTGAAGCCACGCCAGACAACGTCAAGTAATGCCAAGAAGCGCCAAGCAATGCCAAGCAAAGCAAATAGATGCCATGCAAAGCAAAGCGCTGCCTTCGCGGCTCAGTTATTCACTTAATTTGTGTCTCTTTAATTGGGGTCGCGCCGGGTTCCGGGCTCATGCCGGAGATCCCGAGTGCGGAGCGAGGACGCTTGGTAGCGGCATGGATTGCAGCCGAGACGCTGGAATAAGACACCATTTAAGGCTCAGGAGGGGATCTGGCTTTATGGCCGCTCCTCAGATCTAGGTCGGGGGAGCTACTCGTGGCCGAGGCTCGCTGTGGCTGGGCAAGACTTTCTCGTCCCTTTCAGGCCTCGGAAGTCATTGTCGAGCACTCATGCCGCATTCATCCGTCGATGGCTACCCCAATCATCAATGCTGGCGGTGGGCCGGATGAGCCGCAATTCGACCGCAGTCTTCCCCGCACATACCAACTTCGAGCTTGAGGGAGCGGGGGGGTGTCCACGAATTGTTTCCTTCTACAGTATTTTGCGTCACTTACGCTAGCACGATGCCTGTATGCGGGGACCTCGCGGCCCTCTGGACGCTCTAGGGTCTGGGGCCGTGTTGTTTGTTGTGACGGTTCTCTCGGGGTCTCCCGGAGAGATTCGGTTGAGCCACCTTTGGGGCCGTCAGGGAAGCAGCGCTGCGATGTTGCAAGCGTGGCGTGGCCGCGCAGTTGCATGGGTTGTTGCGTTGTCTCCTCTTGGAGGCCTCTTCGGTGCTTCTTTGGAAACTCTTGGAGGCCTTTGGGGCCCCTCGTCAGGGGCGGAGAAGATACCGATATCGCTTCCCTTTCCTCGTCGCTACGGCTGGATTCGCTTCGGAGTCCAGGCCAGATTTCAACCCCGGAGATGTCTGGGGACTAGCGGTATAGGTATTTTGTGTTCCCCCATCTCGGGGAGTGGCAACGACGCCGACGGCAACGGTGACGACGCCGAGGACGAGGACGACGACGGCTCGTTTGACCCTCCTTGCTTCGGCCAGGCACAGAAATTTCATAAAGACACTCATGCCCAGGCGCAGATACTCATGTCTCCTCCTCCTCCTCCTCCTCCTCCTCTTCCTCTTCCTCTCCCTCTTCCTCTTCCTCCTCCCCCATCCTCCTCCCCCTCCTCCCTCTCGGGGCCCTGTCGGGGGCTTCTGGGGGAGCTGCCCGTGGCCCCGGAGGCGTCCGTCCTGGGCGCGCGCGTGCGGCCGGGCGCGCCCGAAGGGGCTCGGCGGAGCCAGCGTGGGAGCACCTGAGGGGTCTCGGGGCCTCCTTGGGGCCGTCTTGGGGCCTTCGGCCATCCTTGGCTCCGCTGCCCTGGTGCGCCCGTGCGGAAGCGCAGCACGCACCGTGTTCCGCACGGGCGTGCCGACGGACTGCGCGTGGGGTCGGCACGTGCTGGCCCATGCCTGGCGAGCGTATGGCACAAGGGCTCCCTCGAGGGCGCGAAGTTATTCGCGCTTCGCGCTTCGCGGTCCTCGTTCCTTCTCCCCCTCCTCCTCGTCCTCCTATTCTCCCTTTGGGAGGGCGGCGCGAGAGCGCGAAGTTATTCGCGCTTCGCGCTTCGCGCAGCGCGAGAGCGCGAAGTTGGGAGCCCTAGAGCACGGGCGTGCTGACGGACTGCGCGTGGGGTCGGCACGTGCTGGCCCATGCCCGGCGAGCGTGTGGCACCAGGCCTACGGTAGGTTCGTGTCGTGTCGACCAGCGGCGACCCCGCCAGCGGCGTTCAACTTTGAACGCCGGCGGCGGCCCAGAATCGATCGATGTTGAACGATTGGACGTTGCGGAAACGGCCGATCGTTCAAGGTTGAACGATCCCCGCGGTGTCAGAAACCAACGCCGGGGTCGGCACGACACGAACCTGCCGTACGTTTTCGGTCTGCGCGTCGGGGCGCGGCTGCTCAGATCCCCGGGTCGTGTTGGGGTTGGTCGCCGACCGGGGGCCGGAGGTGGCCCAGCACTGGCGCTGGCCAGCAGGAGGGGGAGAATCGGGCGTGGAGAGAACCCCCAACAGTGACACGTCGATTAGTGAATTGTCCGTTTTCGGTTCTCGAGAGGGCGCCGTGGCCGCTATTTTCCAGGCTTGCGCCCGCCAGGTTTGGGCCTCAGGTCGTTTTCACTAAACCACGTTTTGCTAAAGGGGGGTCTGTCCATACCCGAGAGAAGGGGCTCCAGGGTTTGGGGTTCACGAGCGCTTCTTGCCCTGGCCAACCTCTGGATTTTCGGGCCCGGGGACTGTCGAAAACCAATCCGGGGTGAAACGTTGTGCCAGATGGGCCAATTTTGGTGGGATTTGGTTTCATCCCCCCTCCTGATTGCTTTTTGGGTCCCAACCAGTTCAACCTCCCTGGCCGCCTCCAACCTGGGACCGTCTTGGGGCGTTCTTGGATGCAGATTTCGTCGGCTTCGTATGTTCAAGCCTCCTCAGGGAGCAACCCCTTGGGCATGCTCCTTGCCTCTGAAGGCTCTCTGTCTGGGCCTTCTTGAGCTGGTCTCGAGGTATCTTGCGCCCGTGCCAGGGCGGTCTTGGGGCCAACTCGGGACAGAACATGGCGCCAGCAGTGCAAAGGTATGGGGGCGACCCTTGGCGGGGTCCTGCCCCGAGGGGGGGTTCGCCCCCGGAAGACCACAGACACCCGTTCAGGCAGGCAACAGGCATTTTATCAGCACGCCTCAGCATGCGATTGACACGGTGGCGGATCTGTAGGGGCGCGCGCTGTTTTGATTGCGTGTGGGGATGGGAAAGAAGAGGGCAGCAAGAGCATAATGATCGGATGGGATTGTGGTGGCGATGCTGATGGTCGCGATGACGACGTATATGTCGATTACAATGAAGATGATGTCGCCGACGATGGTGGTGACGGGAGGTACTATGATGGTGGTGACGACGACGGTGATGATGATACTGATGATGATGCTGATGATGATAATTATGTTGATGCTGTAGTTGGTGACGATTGTGATGGTGGTGGCGGTGGTCATGATGACGACAACGATGCCGATGACGATGGCGATGATGCTGATGATAACAGTAATACAAACAGTAATGATTATGCTGCTGATGATGATGATGGTGATGTCGATGCTGCCAATGACTACGAGGACGGTGACGATGCAGGCGACATTGACACTGATGAGGACGATGATGATGCTGGTGGTGTTGATGATTACGACATTATGCTGGCGGCAATGATGATGAAGGTGATGGTGATGGTGATGGTGACAACGATGGTGGCGATTCAAACTTGGATGTTGAGGGCGATGGCGATTCTGACGACGACAGTGCTGCGTCTGCTGCAGATGATGATGTATCTTGTGATGATGATGATGATGATGATGATGTTAATGTTGTTGATTATGAGGATGTTGATGCTGCTGCTGATGATGATGATGTTGATGGTGATTATGATGATGATGCAGATGCTGAGGATGGTTATGACGGTTATGATGCTGATGCTGTTGAGGCTGGTGATGATGTTGATGTTGATGCTGATGTTGATGATGATGAGAAGGATGGTGACGCTGATGATGATGATGATGATGATGATGGTGATGGCGAGTACGACGATAGGGAATCTACCGATGCCGATTATGATGTTGATGATAATCCAATTGATGATGATGACACTGGCGGAAGCGATGACCATGACAATACTGATGATGATGAGGATGATTAGGATGATTATGATGACGATAGATGGTGATGATGATGACGATGACGACGACGACGACGACCATGATGAAATGATGATGATGATGATGATGATGATGATGATGATGATGATGATGATAATGGTGATGATGCTGATGATGATGCTGATGATGATAATGATGATGCTGATCGTGATGCTGCTGATGATGATGATGATGATGCGAATGATGCGGATGGTGGTGAGTATGATAAGGATGATGAGGATGGTGCTGTTGCTGATGATGATGCTGCTGATGATGATGCTAATCAGCAGGAGGAGCAGGAGGATGAGGAGGGCGGTGGTGATACTGCCGATGATGACAGTGGTAATGCCACTGACGATTGCGACGATGATGATGATGATGGCGACTGCAATGATGATGATGATGATGATGATGATGCTGATGATGATGATGATGATGATGATGATGAAGATGGCGATGCTGTTGATACTGATGATGGTGATGCTTATAATGATGATGCTGCTGATGATGATGATGATGCTGCTGACGATAATGATGCTGGCGACGATGGCGGTGATGATGTTGATGAGTGGAGGTGATGGTGGATGATGCCGATCATGATGATGACGATGCTGGGTGAGGATGATGATGATGCCGATGCTGATCACGACGATGATGATGATGATGATGATGATGATGATGCTGATGATGCTAATGATAATGATGATGACGAGTAGGATGATGATGCTGATGATGGTGACGACGATGATTGCAATAATCATGATGGTGCTGATGAATACGCTGATACTGATGATGTCGATACTGATTATAGTGATGATGATGATGCTGCTGCTGACGATGACGATGCCGATGATTATGATACTGCTGGTGATGGTGATGAGGGGGGGGGGGGGCGATGATGACGAGTATGATGATAGTGATGATGGTGATGATGGTGATGCTGATGCTGCTGATGATGACGCTGATGATGCTGCTGCTGATGCTGCTGCTGATGTTGATTATGCTGACGAAAGTAGTGCTGCTGCTGATGCTGGTGCGTATGATGATGATGTTGCTGATGTTGATGATGGTGATGATGATGGTAATGCTGATGATGAGTATGATGCAGGTGATGCTGACGATACTGATGCCGCTGATGATGATGCTGCTGATGCTGATGATGATGCTGAGGATGCTGATGCTGATTATGAGGATGCTGCTGATGACACTGATAATGCGGATGATGATGATGATGATGATGATGATGATGATGATGATGATGATGATGCTGTTGATGCCGATGGTGATGATGCTGATGATGATGATGATGACGGTGCTGATGATGATGATGATGATGATGAAACTGGTGACGATGATGCTGATGCTGATGCTGCTGGTGATGCTGCTGATGATGATGATGGTGATGCTGATGCTGATGCTGGTCATGACCATGATGATGCCGATGATGATGCGACTAATGCGGCTGTTGATGATGCTGATGACGATGTTGCTGATGATGATTGCGATGCTGATGACGATGCTGATGCTGCTTCTGATGATGGTGACGATGCCAATGATGAGGATGCGAATGGCGACGGTGATGATGCTGATGCTGATGCTGACTCTGATAGATCAGGCTGATGATGATGCTGATGCTGATGATGACGATGCTGTCGTGGTTCTCGGCGGTGGTGATGATGCTGATGATGATGATACTGATACTGTTGCTTCTGCTGCTGCTGCTGCTTCTGGCGATGATGCTGCTGAGGAGGAGGAGGAGGAGGAGGAGGAGGAGGAGGAGGATGATGATGATGATGATGATGATGATGATGATGATGATGATGATGATGCTGCTGATGGGGATGATGCTTCTGCGGCTTCTGCTACTGCTGATGGTGATGAGGAGTAGGATGAGGATGAGGATGAGGATGGCGAGGAGGAGGAAGAGCAGGGAGATGATGATGAGGAGGAGTAGGAGGAGGAGGAGGAGGAGGAGGGGGAGGGGGAGGGGGAGGGGAGGAGGAACAGGAGGAGCAGGATGAGAACGAGGAGGAGGAGGAGGAGGGGGAGGGGGAGGGGGGGGGAGGAGGTGGAGGAGGAGGGGGAGGACGACGAGGAGGACGACGGGGAGGAAGAGGAGGAGGAAGAGGAGGAGGAGGAGGAGGAGGAGGAGCAGATGGGAGAGAGGAGGGCGATCACCGAGCCCAGTCGTCGTGGACGGAGCAGGGGGAGAGGACGGAGTCGAGGGGAGTGAGGAGTGAGGAGGGGCAACGAGGGGTTGCTGGGGCGGCAAGGGGATGGGCAGGAGGAGGGGACGGAGGAGAGGAGGAGGATGGAAGAGGAACATTGAGATGATACTGCTGCTGCTGCTGCTGCTGCTGCTGATGATGATGATGATGATGATGATGATGATGCTAATGCTGATGATGATGTTACTGTTTTTGATGATGCTGGTGATGCTGATGCTGATGATGATGCGGATGCTGCCGCGGATTATGATGATGATGATGATGATGATGCTGTTGGTGATGCTGGTGCTGATGCTGATGATGCTGCTGGTGTGGATGCTGCTGCCGCTTCTGATGATGCTCATGCTGATGCTGTTGCTGATGATGAGGATGATGATGCTGATGATGATACTGATGATGATAATGATGATGAGGATGATGATGATGATGAGAAAGATGATGATGATGATGATGATGATGATGATGATGATGGTGATGTTGATGGTGGTGATGATGATGATGATGACGATGATGATGATCATGATGCTGATGCTGATGATGATGCTGATGATGATGATGATGCTGATGATGATGATGATGATGGTGATGGTGATGGTGATGGTGATGGTGATGGTGATGGTGATGATGGTAATGATGAGGATGAGGATGACGATGAGGAGGATGATGATGATGTTGATGATGATAATGATGATGAGGATGAGGATGAGGATGAGGATGAGGATGAGGATGAGGATGATGATGATGATGATGATGATGATGATGATGATGATGATGATGATGATGATGCTGATGATGATGCTGCTGCTGATGATGATGATGATGATGATGATGATGATGATGATGATGCGGATGAGAAAGAGGAGGAGGAGGAGGAGGAGGAGGAGGAGGAGGAGGAGGAGGAGGAAATGGAACAGGAGGAGGACGCGGAGGCGGCGGGCGGAGAAAGAGGGGAAGGGAAGGTGCAGGAGGGGAAGGGAAGGTGCAGGAGGGCAGGGGAGGAGAAAAGGGGTACCCGGCGGGGGAGAAAGGTGTATCCGGCGGGGGAGGCGAAAAGGGGGAGAGGATGGAGGTGATGGTGATGGTGACGGTGCTGATGATGGTGTTGGCGATGGTGACGATGATGCTGCTGAGGAGGATGATGACGAGGATGGTGATGATGATGATGATGATGATGATGATGATGATGATGATGACGATGATGATGATGATGAGGCTGATTTTGCTGATGCTGTTGCTGCTGATGATGCTGCTGCTGATGATGGCGATGATGCTGATGATGCTGAGGATGACGATGTCGATGATGATGGGGATGGTGATGATGAGGTTGATGATGATGATGCTGACGATGATGATGATGATGATGACGATGATGATGATGATGATGATGATGATGATGATGTTGTTGATGCTGATGATGGGGATGAGGACTAGGAGGATGAGGATGACGATGCTGGCAGTGCTCAAGATGATTGTGATGATGATCTGTTGGCTGCGAACACGAGGCAGATGCCGATGCTGATGATGATGATGATGATGATGGTGATGATGAGGATGAGGATGGTGGTGGTGATGATACTGATGATGATGATGATGATGATGATGATGATGATGATGATGCATGTGCTTGTAATCTGTGGCTGTGAACACGAGGCAGATGCCGATGATGATGATGATGATGGTGATGATGAGGATGAGGATGGTGGTGGTGGTGATACTGATGATGATGATGATGATGATGATGATGATGATGATGTGATGATGATGATGATGACGATGATGATGATAATCATGATGGTGGTGGTGATGATGATGATGATGGTGATGATGATTATGAGGATGGTGACGATGTCGATGACGATGTTGTGGATGATGATGATGGCGATGAGGATGATTGTGATAGCTGGGACTTTACTCCTGCTGCAGTTGCTGATGCTGGTGACGATGATGATGCTGCTGCTGATGATGATGGTGATGAGCATGCTGATGCTGATGATGATCATGATGCTGATGCTGATGATGATTATGATAATGATGGTGATGACGATGCTGATGACGATGCTGATGACGATGCTGATGCTAATGATGCTGATGTTGATAATGATGCTGATGATGCTGATGCTGATGCTGATGTTGATTATGGTGATTATGCTGGTGATGGTAACGACGACAACGATGATGGTCATGATGATGATGACGATGATGATTATGATGATGATGATGCTGATGATGATGACGATGATGATGATGATGATGACGACGGTGATGCTGCTGCCGCTTCTGATGATGACGATGATGATGGTGATGATGAGGATGAGGATGGTGGTGGTGGTGATACTGATGCTGATGATGATGATGATGATGATGATGATGATGATGATGATGATGATGATGATGATGATGATGATGATGATGCATGTGCTGGTGCTGCTGATGGTGAGGAGGAGGAGGAGGAGGTGGAGGAGGGGAAGGGGAAGGGGGGTGAGTCCCTCAAGCCCTGTATCACCAAAGAGCCGTGCTGCAGCCCACTTGTCAAAGATACGCAGTGTGGGTCGCGCCTTCGGCTCCCCTGGCGCGCGGGCTGGCCGACTCCTCCTGCTCGTCCTCTTGCTGCTGCACTCTTCCTCCTCTCCTCCCTCCGAGGAGAAAGTCATATTGATACCGATGCCCCTCTCTCGTTTTCGCCGTTTTGGGCCTCCACAGGGCGGGGGAGAGGAGACTACTCGCCGCGGCCGAATTCGCCTCGGAGTCCTGGTCAGAACGCGCCTCGGGAGAGGTCAGGGGAGCAGCGATCTCGGTATGTTTTGCTCCCCCACGTGCTCTTGCTTGCCAATAACCACCGCCCGTCGAGTTTCGCGAATACCGATTCTCCAGGCGGTGGTTATGGGTAAATCCCCGCCTCGCACCATTCCTCGCCATGAAGGAGCGGGGTCCTAAGGGGAACGAGTCCTGGGCCCCGGGGCTTTCCCTGGTATCAGTTCTCCATCCTGAGTAGCTTTTGATGGTCCTGCGGCCCGGAGGCCCGAGAGCGGTGGACACAAAATCCAGGTCACTTTTCCTGCAGGAGCAGCTTGCCTCATGCCAAGGTTCCTCTTCCTGCTGATCCCGCCCGTCTGGATGACGGGGTCCCCGGTGCTCGTGCTCCGATGGTTGCCAGTCTGTGTCCGCTTGGCTTGTTAGATCATAGCAGTGACGCTTGCGCGCGCGTGTCGCATTGGCAGCGCCGTCCACGCGCGGCGTCGCCTACTACACGCATGCGCCCGCAGAGGAAAACTGTCCTGACGAGGGACCCAACCGTCTGCAGGCGTCAGTGCCGCAAGGCAGGTGGGACGAAGTACGGGGAGCTCCCCACGGGGCCACAAGCGTTTTCGAAATGCGCGGTGCGCGAAGTCAGGCGACCTGGGTACATGGCGTGCTGTTGGTGGCGCCATCGGTCACGCCCCAGGCTGCCGGACGACAAAACGGCCCTTTCGAGGGGAGTGCCCGCATTGGGCGGTGCCGCCGTGCGGGCGCTGGCGCTGGCGCCGTTGGCAGGGCTCCCCTATTGGGCCACGAAGCGTGGGTGGTGTACCGACATGGGATGGCGCCGCCCTGCGAACGCTGCTACTTCAGCCTGCCTTGGAGCTCCCTGTGGGGCCACGAAGCGCGTGAGGGGTGTGCCGAAACGAGGCGGCGCCGCCATGCGAACGCTGGCATCTGGGCCTTAGCTGGAGCTCCCTATGGAACCACGAAGCGCGTCAAAGGTGTGTTGAAGTGAGGTGGTGCCGCCATGCGAACGTTGGCCTTTGAGCCTTAGTTTGGGCTCTCTTTGGGGTCACGAAGCGCGTGAGAGGTTTGTCGAAATGAGGCGGCGCCGCCATGCAAACGCTGGCATTTGGGCCTTAGTTGGGGTTCCCTGTGGGGCCGCGAAGCGTGTTAGGGGTGTGCCGAAATGAGGCGGCGCCGCCGTGCGAATTGGCTTTTGGGCCTTAGTTGGAGCTCCCTGTGGGGCCACGAAGCGTGTGAGGGGTGTGCCGAAATGAGGCAGCGCCGCCATGCGAACTGGCTTTTGGGTCGGCCTTAGTCCATATGGGGCCACGAAGCGCGTGAGGGCTTGTTTTGAAATGACGCGGCGCCGCCATGCGAACTTTGGCTTTTGGGCATCACTTGGAGCTCCCTATGGGTCCTCGAAAGTTGATTGGTTTGCCGAAATGAGGCGGCGTCGCCATTCGAACGCTGACATTTGGCCTTCGTTGGGGCTCCCTCTGGGAACAAACGTGTGAGGGGCTAGCCGAAATTTGGCGGCGCCGCCATGCATACGATGGCATCGAGCCTTAGTTGGAGCTCCCTGTGACGACACGAAACGTTTGCCGGAATGACTTGGCGCCGCCAGAGCGGCTAGGAGCAGGCCTTTCACTCCAGGCCTCCCAAGTGAGGTCCGATCAGATGGGGTCGGATGATCGCGCTACATCGCCGCTGCACCGGCGATGCGGCTCGATTCATCTAGAGCGCGATTTTCTCCACGCCGACGTCGCCGATGCATCGGCGATGCACTGGCGATGCATCGGTGATGCGGCACGATCCTCTGGCCCTGCCTGCTCGGACCCTGTGTAGGAGGCCTTTGTCCTCATTTTCCAGCCCAGTCCTGAGCATTATGTCCCATCTGTTCCTGCAGAAGCTCGAAGATAGCCGCTCTTCGTGCTTTGCGGTCTCCGGAGGTGTTGGTCTCCATGGGGCGGCGCGAGGGCGCGAAAGTATCCGTGCCTTGCGCCGCGCGACGCGTGAGATTGGGTGACCTGCCAGGCAGCTGGGCACGCACGACGTGGCCGGCCTGGGTGAGAGCCAGACACACCTGTGGCGGCATGTCGTTCCAGCGCTTGGCCTCGTATACAGTCAAACCGCATGGTGAGAATGAGCAATCTTCCACGACTGCCCTTGCCTCCTTCCCCTTCGGCCCATCCTTGGCCGCTTTTGCTGGCCGCGCCCCGCTCGCAAAGTGTCGACATGGTTTTCCAAGGCTCTTGCATCCTTATCGTACGTCCTTGTGATGCGGGTTGACTGTAGCCTGTAGCCAGGCGGGTGGGCCCGCCGCGTGTGCCTCCGGCGCATCGCCTCCGCATAGGCTCCATGCGTGAGTCCAGCGAGGCGTGCGCTCCATTCTCGTTCGGACGTGCCCCTCGCACTAAAGAGGCGCCCAAGACGCCCCGGAGGCGGCCCAAGACGACCTGACAAGGCTGGCCAAGACGAGACCATCCCCGACAAGACGCGACAAGATAGCCGTTCTTTTATTTAATCGCTTCGCTCATTCCGCTGGCCCATTTTGTGCCATCGTTGGCGTTTGCGTGAGCGTTTTCCAGGGTAACGGTCGTTACCCGGGGGGGTCGGGCGGGAGGGTAACAGTAATTACGGCCGCGGCGTGCACCAGCCAGGGTGCGTCCGTGCCTCCCGCGTATCAATCGTCCGTGTGCACCACAGTCTTTGCGTGCACAACAACGCACGACAATGCCCAATGCCTGTGTGCAACATACCGCCGCCTGTGTACACTGCAATGCCTGCGTACACCACAACAGCCGCGTGCACCGCAGCACCACGTCGCTTATGTACGCCGCAGTGCCTGTGTACACTGTACACTGCAGCTGCCGTGTGCGCAACAGCGCCTGCGTACACCTCGTTGCCTGCACCAGATCGCTTGTGTACACCACAGCGCCTGTGCACACCACAACCATGTATACTGCAGCGCCTTTTCACGCCACAATGCTTCCGTGCACCACAACGCCTGTGTACACCAGAACGCCAAACGAGCCAACGAGCACATATGCAGCTTGTGAAGCCTCCTTTTGGGACTCGCCACAGACCACGGAGGCATTCAGGACTCGTCATTCGTCTCCTCCTCCTCCTCCTGCTTCTCCACCTCCTCCTCTTCCTCCTCCTGCTTCTCCAGCTCCCTGTCCTCTTCCTCTCCTTTTTCAACGGTCCTGGCAGCCTTCGTTGAGGGAGGGGAATGCGGAACGGGGGGAGGAGCAGCAGGAGCAGCAGGAGGAGCAAGAGGAGCAGCAACAGGAGCAGCAGTAGCCTCACGATGAGGTCGAAAGCTCCAACGCCGTGGAATTCCCCAAACAACGCTTGCATTCAGGCGCTCGTGCTCCCCGCGCAATGCTTGCACTGGTGCCGACATTGGTAGCACAGCACATGTTGCATCGCGTGCCCTGCGCGTCAAGTAAAACGAATAAGTGTGTGGGGCCCACATGCGCCAACGTGTTCTTGCTCGACATCGGTCCCCCGACCTGCCGCCCTAGGAGCAGGACACCTTGGCAGTGAGTCCGCCTGACTTATGCGCACCGCAAAAGCCTGCAAGCGCCGCAACACGCACAACACCCATGTGGGCACCCAAACATACCTTTCGGCACCACGCCATGCCTTTGAGCTCGGCGCCGCAACAGGTGGGGATCCTGCGAGCGCCACAGCACTTTTATGAGCACCACAGCATGCCTCTCAGCACCCCCGTATGGCTGTGAGCACAGTCCGCCCCCGAGCATGTAAGGGGAGGTTCAGGCCTACCCACCCAGTAAGATCGTTAGCGTTACCCATGAGGAGGGAGGGCGGGTGACGAGCGTCACGCCGGGGAGTCACGTGCGCGTTCGTGGGCCATGCGGCGCAACTGGTCAGCGTTGCTGCGGTTGTGGGTGATAGTCCTCATGGATGCTTTTTGGTGTCTCTTCGGAGGGTTCTCGGGGGGCTCCTGCGTAGCAGTTCTAGGGGCTCTGGGGGGCCTCCTGAGGGCGCCTTGCATGCCTCTTGGGGCTCTCTTGGCGCCTCGTGGGGCCCTCTTGGGCCCTCTCGGGGGGCTCTTGGGGGCCGCTTAGGAGCCTCGTGGGGCCTCTTGGGAGCTCCTCGGAGGCCTGGGGGGGAGGCTCCTGGGGCGATTTGGTAGCCGAAGGCCTATTGAGAGCTCTTCGCAGGCCGGGCGGGGGGGTGCTCTTGGAGCGATTTTGAAGCCGAGCGCTCGAAATGTCCGTTGGTGCTCCCCGTCGAGGGGTCTTCCTGACGGTGTCTTGGGGCTCTCCAGCGCCGTCTAGGGAGAAACTTGGGCCGTCTTGGAGTCCCCGGGGGCCGTTTTGGGGTTCTCTTGGAGGCCAAACGGGTCGTCTTGGAGCGATCTTAGGGTCTTTTTGGGTCATCTTAGAGCGTCGGCGGCCGAAAACATTAGAACGCTGAAGACCTGCAAGAACCAATGGCATATCGTTGAAAACTGCTTTTAGGGGGCTTTTTGGGAGTGGTCTTGGAGGCATCTTCGGGCGTCTTGGAGGCGTTTGAAGCCATCTGGAGGCTATCTTGGGCATCCTGAAACGACTTCCGGTGACCCTGGGCCCTCTTAGACCGCCTTGGGGGCCTCTTGAGACGCTCTCGAAGGCCCTGAAGGCAGCCCCCAGGTGGACTGGCATCCGTGACGCGGACCGCCTTGGACTTGCCCAGGGTACTTGTCGTCCGCGGGCTCCCAGGGGCAGCCCCGCGCGCACGAAGTAGACGTACCGTAAAGCTGTCACCGGAGATTTTTGCACGCCTTTGGCCCGCTGGGCTGGCGAATTTATTGTTTCGCCGATCGGCGCGAGTCCTCCCCCCCTCCCCCCCTCGCCGCCCGAAGACCAGATCCTGGCTGCTCTTGGCGGCTGGTTTCTGGCGACTGGCCAGGACCCCTGCAGCCCAGTCTGCTCGCGCGGCTGGCAGAAGCAGGTTGACGGAGCACCGGCCCAGGCCCAGACCCCGCCCCTCCCCTGCCCTGCTGCCAGACTCTCCAGACGTCGAAGCACAGGTGTAGAACAAGAAGCTGCAGAGTGAGGCAAGACCCGGTGGCACACGCCGAGTACCCCAGGAGAGCCCCCACACGGGCCCAGGAGGGGCCCACGACGACCCCGAGATGCCCTGTTACCGAGACGCCCCTCAGAGGGCCGCTTAGAGGGTCCCTGAGATTAGAACGTCCAGGGGCTAGGCATTGGTTTTCCCCAAAGGGACAGGAAACCTCCCGAGCCCCTCCAGAAACCTTCCTGGAAGGGTTCTGGGAGGCTTTTCGGAGGGGCTCGGGAAGGTTTCGGGAGGGCGTCGGCGGCCCTTGATGCATTCTTGAGGGTTGGCACTAGGGACTAGGAAGCCCCAGGGCCTCTGGGCGTCTTGAGTAGAAGCTGGGGAGGTATCGAGCGGGAGCG